TTAAGGAGTTATTGATACTTCAAATACAAAATGATAATATAAAACTGTGATAAAAATATATTTTTAAGTACTAATCAACTATCCTCCTCCTATAAATATCAAGTCAAATATATTTTTAAATACTAATCAACTATTCTCCTCCTATAAATACCTTTTAAATCAAGTTAAAATGTTAACATTTATCTTTATATTATCAATAACATTAACATTTTATTTATATCTATTATTATCCGTCATTTTATTAGGTTTCAAATAAAACTCACTGTCTTCCGCACCATCCTCCTCCTGTAAATGTGTTCCAATAGAGCCAAAGTGTTAACATGTATTTATGTATCATCAATAATATTAATTAAATACTGCTCGACCTTGATATTTTAAAAATAAACTATTTCACCACAACTTTTATTCACGTGTTAATTCTGTATTTATTTGTATTTTGCGTTCTAACGATCCAATTTATCCATTATATATCCCAAGGACGCCTCGCTTAAAATCTCTCATTGTCATTCCTTTATTCCTTAACAAATGCTGCTGTACTCTCACTTCACTTGCAGCACCAAAGCTCAGAGGCGCTGACACACTTCAAATTTGCGAGGGAAAATCAAATGCCGACGCCGAACTTATCGAGCTTAGTGCACGAACTCCGAGAACGAATCGCAGCAACTTCATCAACGCCACCAAACACCAACACCAACACAGCAGCAGAAAACGACTCCGCTCTAGAAATCCGATTCCGTGCTGTCCTTCCTAATCTCCTTCACGCCTATGTCGTTCCTTCTTCATCCGGTAACCACAAAAACGAAGATAAAACCCTAAAACTTCAATTAATTCAATAATTTAATAACATCGTTAATTTATTGATTTTTTACATAATCTTGTCGTAGCGAGCGAGCGAGAGGTGATTGCGGTGTTGAAATTGATTTCACACATAGCGAGGAATTTTCCTGGCGTGTTTTACCATGGTAAAGGGAGTGCCATTTTGCCTGTTATTGGTAGGGTTTTGCCGTTTTTCGCAGAGCCTGCGTTTCGGTAAGTAGTTTTTTATTTTCTTAGTGAATTTTATGTTATTTTTTTTTTAAAACAACGTGTAGGAAATAAAGTTAGTTATGTGCTTTTATTGCTTTATATAGCGCGCGGCACGGAGTGATTTTTGATACCGTTGGATCCTTGTTGTCCTTGCTTCGCACTGGAGCGCGAGATGCCTACTGTCAGTTTTTTATTGATGCAATGCTGGCAGTTGAAGGTAAAGGAAAAGGAAAGCAAGAAAGAAAAAAAGGCTTTGTGTGAATGTATGTATTGATTTTATAGCGCTTTTTATATTTTCTTTCCGTGTGTATATATACAGATATATTGTACGTGGCGCCGTTTTCTGTTGATAGTAGAAGTGTTCCGGAATCTGGTAGAATAATGTTGAAGTGTTTTTGCAAGTCATTTAGTGGCATTTTCGATGATCCTGCTTGTATTTGTGGTTTGCCGGCTAGTAGTAAACCTGATGATGGTGCGGGTGTATTGATTAATGTGACGGGCAAAGAGAGGTGGATGACTTTTGCGACTTGGATGGTTAAGCTTCTTAGCAAATGTGTGACTGAAGGGACGCTTTATGTGGAGGGACTCATTAGTTTGGCAAATGTTTCAGCTGCTTGTTCGCTGTTGTGTTTTGGAAATGCTGATTTGCATATGGTGAGTAGGGGACGTTTTACTAGTTGGAGGTGTTAGCTTGTTGTATGTAATGTGTTGTTTCTGTTTGATTTATTAAGTGTTGCTTGTTATATCGTTTTGTGACAGTTGTCTGACAATTGAAATTTTGTGGAAGGCATGTTTTGACTTTGCATGTGTCGTCACATCAGTCATAGATCATGATATTGTTCCTCATGAGAATATGATCAGGTCAATAGCTGCAATACTAAGTGAGGACAGCGAGGGACCTTTTGTATTCAGGTATGTGCTTTGACTTCAGATTCCTCACTTGGTGAAGCTTGCTGTTAATGCATTGTTCAGTTAAAAAATTTAATGAGAGATGCTCTATTACAAAGTCGAATTTCTATGTAGTTGATCTTGCTTCCCTTGCTATTGGCCTGTTTGTGTAGATTGCATGGAAGTTCATATCCATGCTGAATAAAATGCATCTATTCACTGTGTGACACAACCAATCTTTATTCGGTTATTACTTTGTGAATGGGGGAACATTAGTTGCACTACTTACATGGGGTTTTCACTAAAGTGATTTAAACAATTACCTTAATAATGTTGCAGAAACATGGTGTATGATTCCTCCTTGGGTAGTTGCCTCAATATATTGCATTCCAGTTGTTCAGATGCTATTGTAGAGATAACAGCTGCAGGCTTGATAAATGTCTTTCCTCAGTCAATGCAGAGAACCAAAAGCCAAGAGCTCAAGGTTAGTTGCCCAACTTGTTCTTATATAGGCAAGTTGTTCATAATTGTGAGGCATATCTTTTTTTTTTTGGTCTGTATATCTCACAGATATGCAGTCCATAATTGTGAGGCATATCTTTTTTTTTTTTTTTGGTCTGTGTATCTCACAGATATGCAGTTCAAATTGCTTGGGGAAGTGACTAAGACTGTCTGTTGATGCATGTTTTTTCCTCCAGGTAGCTTTGTGCTGCTCATACTCACGGATTGCTAGAACATGCCCCCCTCATATTTGGAGGCCAGAATCTCTGATACATATGCTTTGTTGTCCTGAACCCTTTTCTTCCTTGATTGATTGCTTTCAAGTAGCTCTGTCGATTCTTGGTCCTGATCGAGTTGGAGGGAGGATGGAAAATAATGATGATGCAAGCTTATCAGTATCTGGTGATATAACAGTCCAGAACTCAAGTGTTGGCAAAAAGAGACATTCTCAGAATGTGGATACTATACAGACCAAACGCCGTAAGGTAGATGACGATGTTATGGCTTCTGATCCCAGTGTTCTGGCAGAGTGCAAGCTTAATTCCATAGTTAATTCTAAAAGAGACGAAGAATATGCTGATTGTATGCATAAATCGCTTGTTTCCTTCCTTGAACATTTAAAGCCTCCTGCTAAACCTGATTCTTTAAGACCAGATGTTGCGCTAGCAGCTCTTAGCATGCTTTGCATTGCTTTCTGTAGATTTCCAACAACCTATCTGTCAATCTGTATCTTCCAGCAGATGCATGCGTGGATTCCTTGGATATGTGAGCAGGTAGGCTTGATATGTAAAGTTCTCATCAGTTTATCCACCATATTTTCCTAGTCATTGAATGAGATTCACATCATGCAGGCAGAGCGAGGAGGTTCAGTTGCACTTGATATTTCCAACTACTTGGAAGGAATTCACACCATGTTGCTTGTGCAAAGTAAGAATCAAGCCTAAATTTCTTCAAAGTTTGCACTAAACTTTCATTAATTGCCAGGAATTTGTTACTGGTTCTCTGAAAAAGTATGCTTACAATTTTTGATATTCTTTTCAATGAAGGATTAGACAATTCTTCAAGTATTGTTGTTGCTTTCTGGCCAATAGACTTGCTGTAAAAGTCTCATTTATCTCCCATTCCAACTTCAATGGTCAGCAGTGCCATTTTGAAATCACTTGGGGGGTTTAGTTATTAGAGAAACAGAAAATGGCTAGGTCATATTTTACATATACAATCTCAAGCTGTTTTTATTAAAGTTAGGAAAGTTTAAATATTTTGTTTCTTTTCTTCAGAATTGAATTAATTACTTTGTAGTATCTGGCTGTTCCTTCTATTTTTCATGTTCTAATGATAATTGTTTCTCATTTACGATGAAAGTAAGATGAGAATTGCAAGTTTCATTTTTGTTTCATTTGAATTTCACTTTTGGTGATGCATACTGTGGAGTTCTTTTGTTGGTCTCCTTCAAAACTGAGGATGAAGAGAAGAGGCATGTTTAGGTTTTGTCCTATTTCAATAGGTTCTGGATAAGACATGATTGTGCTGTTGCTGCATTGATATTAGTGAATCTGCTCTTTAGTCAATATTTTAGTTTCTAGTTTGGTATCTCAAACTCTACTTGAATTTGTGTATTAGCATGCGTGTTGTTATTCCATTTTGTGTCTCATGAAGCCATATGTTGTTTATTAGGCCCCTTTCTCATGGAGGACAAGCCTTTCAAATATAAGGGTGACTCTACAGATCTTTTGCATATTGTGCTAAAGCTTCCTTGGACTCGTCCACATATGGTTATAGGTCTGCATCCTCCTTGGAAGACAAAATGTTTCTCCATCCAAGTTGTCTCCAAGCTTGGCTCTATCTTAACAACTGAACATGCTCTGGAACTCCTGGAATTAGGTCTCAATGATGAAGCTGAAGAAGTTAGAATTGAAACTATAACTTCTATGCCAGTGATTGTCTTGTGGTCTGGCCTTGGTTTGCAAGCAGAAATGTTCAAAAGGCTTGAGTACGTGAGGAATGAAATAGATTTGTGTAGCTCTTTATGTTATACAACATATAATTAAATATAAGTGTCATTCATTATGTGAGCTTGATTGTTGCTAAATTAGTTTGGTGCTCCTTTCACCTGAACTTGTAATTGCATCAACGTCTCATTGAATAGTTTGTTTGGTTGTTGTTTCTCAATTTGCAGCTTGCTGGGGAAAGAGGAGAACATCAAAGTTAAGAGAAGCATTCCCTTCACTCTTGGTTTCTTGTCATGTTTTTATGGATCCTGTAGTATTGTTGATGGCCCACCTCTAGGTGAATGCAAGTTATTTATAGATATCAATAATGAGAAACATGGTAAGACAGCTGATTATTTACAAGGATTCTGGTGCTCAAAGTGTGACAGAAGCATTGTGCACAACCACAAGGTACACTTAAAAATAATGCAACCACCTGATTTCCAAAGTGCAAGAGTGGGATTGAATAGCTATTTTCCTCAGCTCCAGTCCTTGTTCTTTAAACTTCTTTATGATGAGTCTTCGGAAGAGGTTCAAGTTGCCTGTGTGAGAAATATTCGACGTATCCTTGTACATGGGTCTGAAGATATTTTAATTAAAACAAAATCAGAATGGATTAAATGTGTTGAGTTTTTACTACTGAACAAAAAGAAGCCACTGAGAGAGGCATTCTGCACTCAGATCAGTTCCTTCCTTGAAAGTCCTGTATTCAGTTGTTTATTTTTGAATGGAGATTCATCCAATAAAACTAATGAGCAGAAGTTTTTAGGCCTAATGAAGCATGCTCTGTCAGCAGCTGAAGACCCACAAATCTTTGAGACTCTTCTGGAATGTGTATCCCAAATTATGATCGCAGTTGATATTCATAGTCAACTTTTCTTGTCTTGTCTTATTTTGCTGGTTGATCAGCTGGATCATCCATATGTGACAGTGAGAATGAGTGCATCAAGGTTAATACACAAATCTTGCTACTTTCATCTTAAAGGAGGATTTGAGCTAATCCTTTCAAAAGTAGTTCACATTAGAAATGAGCTGTTTGATTATCTAACTACGAGGTTCACAAGCCATCCAAAAATGGTCAGAGAGTTTGCAGAAGCTGTTTATGGAGTTGAAACTGAAGAGCTTGTTGAGAAAATGATTCCCATTGTTCTTCCAAAGCTCGTGGTGTCTCAGCAGGATAACAATCGAGCAGTTCAGACATTATATGAGTTAGCCAAGTGTTTGAACACTGACATGGTGCCTCTGATAGTTAATTGGCTACCAAAAGTGCTTGCCTTTGCTCTTCATCGAGCAGACAAGCAGGAGTTACTCTCAACTTTGCAGTTTTACCACGATCAGATTGGTTCGGATAACCAAGAAATTTTCGCTGCTGCATTACCTGCACTTTTAGATGAACTTGTCTGCTTTCTTGATGGTGGTGATTCAGTTGAGATAAACCAAAGGTATGGCTCTTTGAACTTGCTTACAATAAACAGATAAAAACTTGTGTGATTTTTTTGTTTCTACTCTTTTCGTTATAATATCAAGAGATAGCTAATGATTTCAATACCCCAGCTTAAGAAGTGGCTACATCTTAGGCTGCACTCATCTTTGCAAATTTTGCACTCATTTATCTTAAAAACAGGGCCATTCTCGAGTACTGTATAAATGTCTCAGGCTGACAAGCAAGCTTTTGCAAGTTAGTGGCCTGAAAGTGGTTCATAATTACAAAAATATGGGATGATGGGATTGTCTCTCATGTCCCTCATGTCCTGAAAGTGGGTAATAATTACAAAAATATGGGATGATAGGATTGTCTCTCATGTCCGTGGGCTACTCTTATTAAAGACTGCCATAATGAGACATATCTAAGTAATGACCCCATGCCAAACTTCCATTGAAGGAATCAAGTTTTTACACCTCTAGCTGAGATTTTACCTCCATTGAGATTTGCTTGTCCCAATGCTTTTAATTTATTTGCAATCAACTGATGATTGTATGATGGTGCAAAATGGGTGATTTGTCATCTGCCCATCATCATATTTTTGTTTACCTATGCAGGTTATCAAGAGTGCCTGACATGATAAAAGAAATTGCCAGAGTTCTGACAGGTGGTGAAGATCTACCAAGCTTTCTGAGGAATCATTTTGTTGGTCTCCTTAATGGCATTGATAGAAAAATGCTTCATGCAGAGGATCTTTCGCTGCAGAGACAAGCTTTGCGACGTATTAAAATGCTAATTGAAATGATGGGGTCACAGCTTGGTACTTACGTGCCAAAATTAATGGTCCTTCTTATGCATGCTATTGATAAAGAATCACTGCAAAACGAGGGCCTATCTGTCTTGCACTTTTTCATAGAGCAATTGGCTAACAAGTCACCATCTAGCACTAAACATGTCATTTCTCAAGTTTTTGCTGCCCTTATTCCCTTCTTGGAGAGATACAAAGAAAATCCTTCTACACATTTGAACAAAGTGGTGGACATTTTGGAAGAACTTGTGTTAAAGAACAGAACCATCCTGAAGCAGCATATTCATGAATTTCCTCTATTACCTAGTATTCCTGAGCTAATGGAAGTGAACAAAGCTATTCAAGAAGCACGTGGGTCAATGACTTTGAAGGATCAATTGCGAGATGTTGTTGATGGTCTCAACCATGAGAACTTGAATGTTAGGTATATGGTGGTGTGTGAGTTAAGCAAGTTACTGAATCTGAGAAGGGGAGATATTACATCTCTGATCACTGGTGAAGTTGCTGCTGATATGGACATTTTGAGCTCATTGATCACAGCCTTACTCAGAGGATGTGCAGAAGAATCAAGGACTGCGGTAGGACAGCGGCTGAAGCTGGTCTGTGCTGATTGTCTTGGAGCATTGGGTGCAGTTGACCCTGCTAAAGTAAAGGGAATTTCATCCCAGCGCTTTAAAATTGAATGTTCAGATGATGATCTTATCTTTGAGCTGATCCACAAACACTTGGCTAGGGCTTTTAGAGCTGCACCTGATACCATTGTTCAGGACTCAGCTGCACTGGCAATACAAGAATTGCTTAAGATAGCAGGTTGTGAGGCATCACTGGATGGGACTGCTTCCCTGTCACAAACCCTGAAGGACAAGAGTGCTAAAAGTAGTAGTGGAATGAATACAAGGGGTCAGAGATTGTGGGACCGATTCTCCAATTATGTCAAAGAGATAATAGCCCCTTGTTTAACCTCTAGATTTCAGCTTCCAAATGTGGCTGACTCAGCATCAGTCGGGCCAATTTACCGGCCTTCTATGTCATTCAGAAGATGGATATTCTATTGGATAAAGAAACTTACTGCGCATGCAACCGGATCCCGTGCAAGTATATTTAATGCATGTAGAGCTCTAGTGCGGCATGATATGCAACTAGCAATTTATCTGCTGCCATATTTAGTTCTCAATGCTGTTTGTCATGGTACTGAGGAGGCGCGCCACAGCATAGCTGAGGAAATCCTATGTGTTCTTGATGCTGCTGCTTCAGACAACAGTGGTGCTGCAGTTGGTGGGCAAAGTGAAGTTTGTATTCAAGCTGTTTTCACTCTCCTGGATAATCTTGGGCAATGGATGGATGATTTTGAACAAGAGCTAGCTCTTTCCCAATCTTTCCAATCACCAGCATCTAAGAAACAAGCATCCAAATCCAAGGGTCAAGGTTCAATTTCTTCGACAGATCAGGATCAACTCCTTGTACAGTGTAAGTATGTTTCAGAACTTTTAACTGCAATTCCAAAGCTAACACTTGCCAGGGCCTCCTTCAGGTGTCAGGCTTATGCAAGATCTTTGATGTACTTTGAGTCTCATGTGCGTGGAAAATCTGGTGCATTTAACCCAGCAGCTGAGAGAAGTGGCATATTTGAGGATGAAGATGTTTCATATTTGATGGAAGTATACAGCTGCCTAGATGAGCCTGATGGTCTATCTGGCTTGGCATGTCTACGCAAATCATTAAGCTTGCAAGACCAGCTCTTAATAAATAAAAGAGCAGGGAACTGGGCTGAGGTTTTAACTTCTTGTGAGCAGGCTTTACAGATGGAGCCCTGTTCTGTTCAGCGGCATTCAGATGTCCTTAACTGTTTGCTGAACATGTGCCACCTTCAGGCTATGGTCACTCATGTGGATGGTTTAATTTCTAGGGTTCCACAATACAAGAAAACATGGTGCATGCAAGGTGTGCAAGCAGCATGGAGGCTGGGCAGGTGGGACTTGATGGATGAGTACATCAGCGGGGCTGATCATGATGGTTTACTTTGTAGTGGTTCTGAAAGTAATGCTTCCTTTGACATGGATGTTGCAAAGATTCTTCAGTCTATGATGAAGAAGGATCAGTTCTCAGTTGCTGAGAAGATTGCACTATCCAAACAAGCTCTGATTGCTCCTCTTGCTGCTGCTGGGATGGATTCTTACGTGCGGGCTTACCCGTTTATCGTGAAACTTCACTTACTACGTGAATTGGAGGACTTCCACGCTCTTCTTGTTGATGATTCTTTCTTGGTCAAAAAATTCCATCTGGGTCATCTAGAATTCACTAAATTGATGGAGAATTGGGAACATCGGCTCAGATTTACTCAACCATCCCTTTGGGCAAGGGAGCCTCTTTTGGCTTTCCAAAGATTGGTATTTGGTGCCAGTAGTCTTGGTGCCCATGTTGGGATCTGCTGGCTTCAGTATGCAAAGCTTTGTCGCTTGGCTGGTCACTATGAGACAGCAAACCGAGCAATTCTGGAAGCCCAGGCCTCGGGTGCACCTAATGTTCACATGGAAAAGGCCAAGCTTCTGTGGAGTACTAGGCGATCAGATGGTGCCATTGCAGAGTTGCAGCAAACTCTCCTTCACATGCCTGAAAAGGTTGTAGGTGCTGCTGCTAGGTCTTCAATTACTAGCCTTTCATTGGTACCATTGAATCCCCAACCTGCATTTTGTGATACTCAAGCTTCGAGTGAGAATCTAGATATTGCAAAGACTCTACTTTTATATTCCAGATGGATCCATTATACGGGGCAGAAACAAAAGGAAGATGTCATAACTCTTTATACCAGGGTGAGGGATCTGCAGCCTAAGTGGGAAAAAGGATTCTTCTATTTGGCTAAATATTGCGATGAGGTGCTTGTTGATGCCAGGAAACGTCTGGAAGACAATTATGAACAAGGTCCCAGACCGGTACCATTGACTTCCACTTCTATTTCTCCTTCGAACACTGAGAGGCGATGGTGGACTTACGCACCTGATGTACTTTTATTCTATGCTAAGGGGCTGCATAGGGGCCACAAGAATCTCTTTCAAGCTCTTCCAAGATTGCTAACACTGTGGTTTGAATTTGGAAGCATTTATCAGAGAAGTGGCTCATCGTCCAATCAAGAGTTGAAAAAGGTTCATGACAAGGTACTATAATGTTCAGGACCGATAGTATAGCTGTACTTTTTTTCCTACTGCAGTTTAAAACGTGATCAATTATCTTCTGGCAGGTTATGAGTATTATGCGAGGCTGTTTGAAGGATTTGCCAACATATCAATGGTTAACAGTGCTGCCTCAATTAGTTTCTAGAATCTGCCACCAGAATGAAGATATTGTAAAGTTGGTCAAACGCATAATCACCTCTGTTATCCAGCAATACCCACAACAAGGCCTATGGATTATGGCAGCCGTTTCAAAATCCGCAGTCCCTTCAAGGCGGGAAGCGGCTGCAGCAATCATACAAGAAGCTAAAAAGGGGTTCAGCCAAGGAAACAATGGGAGCAATTTGTTTGTTCAGTTTGCCAGCTTGATTGATCATCTTATCAGATTGTGTTTCCACCCAGGCCAATCAAAAGCAAGGACAATCAATATTTCAACTGAATTCAGTGCCCTGAAAAGGATGATGCCACTGGAAATTATCATGCCAATTCAACAATCTCTCACTGTTAGTTTACCAACGTATGATGTGAATCTCACCGACCCCCTTACCTCTGTTATCTTTTCTGCTTCTGATCTTCCAACAATTTCAGGAATAGCTGACGAGGCTGAGATTCTTTCATCTCTTCAGCGACCTAAAAAAGTAAGTATCTCTAAGCTGCTGATATCAGAGAGCTTGAATATGATTTAGTTGCACAAGATCCTGTCTCCATTTACTTCTGGATTTATGATATTATGGTTCACTTGTTTGCAGCATGCCCATATAAATTTGGTGTCTATGGTCTTCCAATAATTTTGTTTGAGAAAAACTTCAAGATCCCCTGTGTTATTACACAGGAGCTTGTTGAAAATTGAAAACTCATCATAATTGAGAGGGAGGTGTTGCCCATATTTCATATTTGATGAAATGACTAGCTTAACTGAAATAATAAGCCAGTCACTCATAAAAAAATTAAAAATACAGATAGCATAATTTTTTTTTTGTTTTCAATTTTGAGAATCAAGAAACAGACGTGACTGTTGAATTTGCTCACAAGTTTGTCGCTCGTGTCAAGGGGATTGAATTTCTATTTGTTAATAGATAAACATCCTGGTTTCCTTAATTTAACAAAATAAAACACACACGTTGGTTTCTATTGAAGTTGTTATACTGCTCCAAATTAGCTTCGGAATCTGGATGCGTGGGGATTGTTTGTAGCTATCTTGGCACAGTTTTTTTCCCTCGCTCTATCACCATTGAATTGAAGCTGTCATCCCATGTTCATTAATTTAAGTTGTCATATTTTCCTTTGTGATTTGTTGTGATCATTTTCTCATCAACTGCTGTACTGTCCTGTTTCTTCAGATTGTTCTATTGGGTAGTGACGGTATTGAACACCCATTCCTTTGCAAGCCCAAGGATGACCTTAGGAAAGATGCTCGTATGATGGAGTTCACTGCAATGATAAACCGGTTGTTGTCAAAATATCCTGAAAGCCGTCGGAGGAAACTTTACATTCGTACTTTTGCTGTAATTCCACTAACAGAAGACTGCGGTATGGTGGAATGGGTGCCCCACACCCGTGGACTTCGGCATATACTTCAAGACATATATATAAAATGTGGGAAATTTGACAGGCAGAAGACGAATCCTCAAATTAAACGGATATATGATCAATGCCATGGTAAAATGCCAGAAGATGAGATGCTAAAAAATAAGATCCTTCCCTTGTTCCCTCCAGTTTTCCACAAATGGTTCTTGACCACTTTTTCTGAGCCAGCTGCTTGGTTTAGGGCTCGGGTTGCTTATGCTCATACCACTGCAGTTTGGTCAATGGTTGGGCATATCGTGGGACTAGGAGATCGACATGGTGAAAACATTCTCTTTGACTCTACCACAGGTGATTGTGTCCATGTTGATTTCAGTTGTCTATTTGACAAAGGCTTGCAGTTGGAAAAACCTGAGCTTGTGCCTTTCAGGTTAACACAGGTAACGGGATTTTGCATGCGACCGTATTTTATCAAATTGCTCATGATTCTATCCATCGTCAATCATTTTATGATATTAACCCCTACATTCTTATGCATAATTTAAGACCGCAATGAGTTCTCAATTGAACTCAACACCAATATAGAATGGGTTTTATGCAGTATTGGATAACATAACCAGAAGTATTTATAGTCTTGTCTATTTTTTTTTATCGCATATGGTTTCGCAAACCTGGTTTCTTACTCCCTTGGGCACTGTTGAATTATTCCTGCAGAACATGATTGATGGCTTGGGAATCACGGGTTACGAGGGCATTTTCTTGAGGGTATGCGAAATCACACTTTCAGTACTGAGGACACACAGGGAAACTTTAATGAGTGTTCTTGAAACTTTCATTCACGATCCTCTTGTGGAGTGGACAAAATCTCACAAATCCAGCGGGGTTGAAGTTCAGAACCCACATGCACAGGTTCCACTCTTCATCATTCACCTGTCATAATTTTTCAAGTTTAGCTATATTTATCCTTAATAATCTTTAATCATCCCAAATAAACCTTAATACATATATATATATATGTATGTATGTATATATATATATGTATGTATGTATGTATGTACACACACACACATATAAAATAACTTAGCTCTCAAGACATGTGCTTGAGGGTAATTATTATACAACCATAAAAACTAAAGCACGGTATGTTGAATATTGCAGCGAGCCATTAATAATATCGAAGCAAGGTTGCAAGGGGTGGTTGTTGGCGTTGGAGCGGCACCCTCTTTGCCTCTTGCCGTGGAAGGCCAGGCTCGTCGTTTAATTGCTGAAGCAGTGTCGCACAAAAATCTTGGGAAGATGTACATATGGTGGATGCCTTGGTTTTGAGGAGTCATTGCTTGAACTTTTTGACCAGGTATTTCACAGCCTATTGGAAAATTTTCCACTTACCAACCATCTTTTGGAATATCTAAAAAAACCACTAAACTTAGACCAAATCCATAAATTTATGGACATCTAAAATGCATCAAGAAAACTCCTAAATTTTTGAAATATTTACTATCTTGCTTGGCAAAAGAACCAAAAAACTAAAATTTGCGTGACATAGTTAAGTTATTGTTTATCACCGGTAGCTTAACCCTGGGAGCAATACTCGTAAGGTACAGTGTGCATTTTATACATGTGGATCTCATTTCTGAGGTTATAATGTGAAGCAATTTGTCAGGAAAAGCATGTTGAAGATTTTTCTTTCACGAAGATGTTTCAGTTTAAGGACTAGATTTTTGACCCTTGATGAAGTACAAGGGATTGGACATGCATGGAGAGATTCTACAACCTTCACGGGGAAGAGTGGAGCAGAACTTTTGCAGGAACTAAAAGTTGCTCACCGCATGCCTTTCTCAACTTCGCCTATTATCCTTTGTATCCTCTTGAAGTGCTGCCAGCGTCTCATCAGCTCTCTGTATATAGGCTATATCGTCCTGTACTCTTTTCTTTTGAGCAGATATGACTGCCCACTTTGCATATAGAAGAAACCGATAGTCAATCTCCCCTCCTTATTGATAATACACTGTTGCATGTTGCTGCGCTTCAAGATGCCCTAGTTTTTCACTCTTTTATGTAGCTCATTCCAATAATACACTGTTGCATGTTGCTGCGCTTCGAGATGCCCAAGTTTTTTACTTTTTTATGCAGCTGATTTCCGGTTCTTGTCTGAGGACGTCATGGTTCTGCAGTTCCATGTATATTTTTTTGGTATATGTAAACAAGAGACAGGGATAAAGGAAATCTCCAATGACGTAAAAATCCAAAAGAAACTTGTGATTAGTAGATGGTGAACTTGCTCATCCATCTGCTAACGTAGCCATTCCTTGACATCTTTCCCTCAGCTAACTGTTCCCATTGGACTTCTCGTTTGAGCCATTATCTCTTTAACTATAGATTTTATTCAACTGGAGATTCCCCTCTTAACCCTGCTATGACTTCCTGATCCACAAACCACTGTGCTCTCTGCTGGAATCACTTCGCTATAGGTAGGTTATTACTTACAGGAAGAGTGGGAGGGGAGGAGAGGGTGAGTGAAGTCAGGTGAAAGAAGATGAGAGAGTGCACCAAGAGCAATTGATTCCGGTGATGATGCTACAAATTTCTTGATCAAACGGCTAGTAGCTGAAGTCGCTCCTTTGGTGATGGTGGGGACTACTGCAGAGAAGCGCTGGACTTCTTTGCTAGTTGCTGCTAAACATTTGGTTGATAAATCCAGTGGCAGTGGCGGCGGCGGCGGCTGTGAAAAATAAGGTAGTGGTTGTTGACGGTGGCTGATGTGGTGTTGGTTCCCTGGTACGAGCGAGGTTGTTTATCTTTTGGTGACACCACACTTGCGTGTCCATGGATGGAACTGGAACTCACAAAAACAGGGAGGTACGGAGCGTTGGAGGAACTTGCACGTTGAAAGTTTTTTGTTTTTTTATTTGTACTCACAAACCGTGAAGGCCAGAGTTATTGTGGGCTTTTTGAAAAGATCAAATCACGATTAGAAACATAAGGCCCAACAAAATTGTAAATTAGGGTCTTTCGATCTAGTTATCCCATCACTAATAAAGTATAAATAGAATCAAAAGCTTTAAAATGAATATTTCACAAGAAACAAGAAAAGAACAGAAATATCTAGAAATATTGGAAGTAGATTTGGGGCTATCTAAGACATTAACACGATAAAAAAAATACAAGAACAGTTAGAAGCAATAAAATATAACTCAAATCATGCAAAATACACAATCATTTGTCATTCTAAATCAACAAAATTATTTTCTTTTAATTACAAAGAAGATATTCGAATTTAAAATATCTTGAAATAAAAAATGCTGGCATTTTCCCTCCTATTTAAAATTCCAGCACCAAAAAAAAATTTAAAAAAAAAAACACTCTTTAACTCAACGTGGCACAAGGGACCATCAACAATAAAAGCAGAAATAAGCTCTCTCAATATAACACTTTCCAGGTTCCAGCTCCCGAGATCAAAAGTCTATTTTACAAACAAAACCACATTTTCTCCTCCTTTTCTTCTCTTTCCCCAAGTTCTTGAAACGAGGAGCTGCTAGAGTTACATGATTGTCTCGCAGACATTGATATCTCATTTGAAAGGCGCGCCAAAAGATTGCAACTCTCCACAGCTAAAATATACAGGTAAGGTGATAGGTAGGATTGACAAATAAAATAATATACAGTAATGGTAATGAGAAGGATGGAAAATGGCAGGTTCGATTAGCTTGTTGTTCAGGTTATGAGCATCTGCAAGACTTCCCTTTACTTCCTCCTGAGCACAGATAGAAATTGGCCAGACGATAATCCCCAACCTGCTATAAAAACTTGCAAGTCTTATTGCTTGTGATGAACATGTACAGAAACATATTTGATATATAAAGCCATTTGTAGCAGAAACTAGAATTGCTATATACCTCTTTTGCTATTTGTAGCAGGATCTCTATAATCTCCGAGAAGTCAGGCCTTAGAACTGGATCCTGTTGCCAGCATTTTTCTAGCAGTTCGACAAGCTTTGGTTGAGTATTCTTGGGTATGGTAGGCCGTAGACCCTGAAAACACGTGAATGAAAATCACCACACAAATTCTTATAATCATGGACTCATCATATGAAATAGGGGAAAAAATGCTTGTTGGAAAGGATTTTTACCATCTGAACCACTCCAACAGCTGCTTGTAAAGGGGTCAAGAATTCATATGGAATCTGGGAAGCCAAATATGCAAAAATGATCAATTTTGCAAGAGAAACTTACTAAAAAGCGAAGGGATATTACACGAAAATGACCAGCAGCACCTTTCCAGTTAACAACTCCCATAACACGATCCCAAAACTAAATACGTCAGCCTTGTGGTCATACGGCTTGTGCTCAATGACCTTCAATGCAAGATAAAAGTTGTAAGAAAACGGCGAGATGAACCATTTAGAAGATGCATGGTGGTTGCCACCAGCACAACTAATGATGCATCAAAGTTTCAACAAGAATCATGGGGGAGGGGAGGGTAAAGCTATGGATTATTTAACAATGGTAAACAAGTGATCTCTCTCGGTGACAGCAAGAAGTAAATTAAACACTAAGATTAATGTCAAGATAGGTTGCACACTAGTACTGGGGAGGATATTGGTAAAGCTGGGAACACTTTCAGAATAAGGTGTAATGAAAACAAAGGTGTACCTCAGGAGCCATCCATCTATAGGTCCCAGTTTCCGCAGTCATAATTCCAGTCTGAGCTTTCACTCTGGCAACACCAAAATCAGCAACCTTGACTACCTGAAATGAAATGAACAGATGTTTCTTATAGATACACATACGGTACAAAGCTTCAGTTGAATTTGATTTATCTTCCTCCGTGATCATGATGAGAGTAGAAGATGTGGAGGAGGATGAAAAAGACTAGGTAAAAAACATCACTGAAGCCAATCGAATAGTAAACAAAGCACTTGCTGAAAAAATGAAATATGGCAAAGAAGAATCTTACTTCATTTTCATCCATGAGAAGATTTGCAGCCTTCAAATCCCTATGGATTATATTATTTTGGTGCAAGTAATCCATTCCTTTAGAAACATCTATTGCTACTTTAAGTAAATTTGGCAGCTTAAAAACACCCCTCTGCTTGTGTAGGTAGTCATAGACACTTCCTCCGTACATGAATTCTATTTACCAAGAAAAGAAAAATTAAGATACAAAATGTTGAATGGGAGATGAAAAATTAAACAAAATCTTGAATGGGAGAAAATAAAGAAAGAAATTCATACGAGGAATAAATAATCATAACAAATGTTTCAAAACTCAGTGACATTTACCTGTTACAATGCACAAACTTGGAGGCTTGGTGCATGCACCGATAAATTGTACAACATTCTTGTGTCGAACTTTCCTACAAGTTCAAAGAATATGTAAAAACAAGGAAACACCAAACCCAAGAAACAACCTAGAGTTGTAGAAAAACTACGTAGCTGAAGACATTTTGTCAGACCTCATAATGTAAACTTCTTGGGCGAATTCTTTCTGCAAGTCTGAATTTACTCGCTCAGGCTTGAGAATTTTGATAGCCACTTCCTGACTACAGTATGTACCTTTGTACCTAAGCAAATGGGATGAAACAGTTGAATAAAAAACCAAACATCAACAGAAATTGTATCTAAAAAACAGTTAACTTACAGATCACCATATGATCCAGAGGCAACTTTGTTCTCAAACTTCAAATATTTAGGATTAATTTCCCACACATCCGTCCCGTCATTCGGTATTGTAACATGATTAGTATCGTATTTGGTCCTAAATTGCTCGTGATCCTGCGAACACATTAAAAGTAAATTGAAATGCATATCGAAACAAGACAATGAATGAAACCACACAAGGAAAAACATAAATTTGTTGTAGTCAATTGATGTGGTGAAGAGATTATGGCATAAACTAGACACTATCAATTATTATCAATTATCTTGTTGCATTGGAAAACTAAAGAATAAGCAGAAGCAAAATCAAGAACTTCAAAATGGTACCCATCAGCAACCTAGCTATGGTGAATTATTCCTGAAATAAATTCAGTTACATGCGTTCTACCATATTCAAAACATTGCTAGGAGCGTTATGCTTGTCATATACAAGGCATATCATCTAATTTGAGGAGGTTGCTCGTGGAAGAAATAGATGAAACTATTTTAAAATGATGAAGATAAAAAATACATATCAACAAAACAAGGTTCCTAACAGACAACTTAATCATCGGGATAAATTCTTATTCAATTCATGGCCTAGTCTATTGCAATCCTGGTCTACTCTTGCCCATTTCCAGTACTATAAGAGTTGCTAATTGGGAATTCCTTAATTTAACTCCTTTAGTTTTCTTATCACTAATTAACTTGTGACTAAGTTTTATTTCTACCTACAGCAGCCCCTCCTCAACCCCATAAAATAACCAAATGGTAAAAAGATCTGAAACTGGATGAAGGAAATTACATCAAATATTGGAAAGCAATTTATAAAACATTTCATTGCATCCCGCCCAATTCACTGGCTTTAGATATAATTAACTTCAATTTGAGATGATCATTTTAGCAAACAGACCATTGGTTAGAAGAGAATATTCTTCTTGCCAGGTCATGCAAAGCTTGCCTGATCCTCATCAAATAATATGACAATCTTCACTAAACAAGAAACAAGAAAATCAACAGACTGGAAATATAATCAATTCAAGTACAAATAATTTCATAAAAACTCTTGTAGAACACCACATTCAACAGTGAGCATTGTGAGTGAGAGAAACCCAGATTTATTATAAGCTGCAAACTCCATAAGAAGACACTTGCCATCACTACAAATCAAATCAGGGAATTACCTCAATCTTGGAAAATTCCTTTACCAACGCTTGTCTGAGCTGCTCCGTTTCCTGAAAATTATGAACAGTGTGTTAATCGATCAAGTTCGTTGTGTATTTCAAATATGTTCCTGATTAATGGAAGCCTTATGTAATAAAAGGTGTGTATGGCAAGTACCTCATATGGCCAACCATCAACAACAAATACATCTAAGGAGTAGCCATCAACTGTCGAAAATGCGTGCGCTTCTTGGATGTTCAACCCAATGTCAGCAAGTAAGGAAGTCAGCTGTAAATTCGCGAAACACCAATGACCTCATAAATAACTAGAAGCACAATAAACGACAAATTCATTAAATTTTAGCAGTATCAGACACCAACGCAGACCTCAAATTTGTTTGCAGTTCTTCCAAATTGAATACCAAAACAGCCTCCAAATTGAAAGAAGCAGCAGAATAAAGGAAGATTTTCCCCAGCAAATTGAAACAATGTTTGAGAAATAAAATGTGCTTGGCTTATTTCAGCAAGCATGCTTATCTTACCTTACTCAGGAGTTTTGGCTTGTCATAGGTCGAAAAAGTTATTTCATGCGTGGGCCTACATCATTGCCAATAAGAAAATTAGTGTAAACCTCACGATCCAAATCTAGTAAATCATGTATACATGTTTAGAAATGTGCATAATCAATGGCATGCTCAATCAGATTGAGCGCCATTTCAAATATAGGATCTCATATACAAAGAGAGCCCATTACCCTACCATATTCAAGGATTAAAAACTCATCTGAATTCTGATTTTCACTCAAGTCTGTCGATTAAAGATAACGATTAATATAAAAATGATATTTGTTAAAATTTTTCAAAATAAAATGTTAAAGTGAACTAACAAAAGGGCAAAAACCCCAGATAGATCCTTATTGGAATCAAGTTAACTCTACCACAACAGCATTTTGAATGAGAGAATTGCCTGAAGAACTTTGAATCAGCATACTCAGAATTATCACCATCTTGATCATCAAATTTATTTGCTTCAAGTGCCAGTGCTTCAAGATTAGGTGATGAACCAAAGGCTGGCGGTGGATGCAAGCTGACAATTGACAACAAGATAAAAATGTCAGCAATATTAATGAAACTTATTGATTGGAGCCGTCAAAATCACAATATGCATGGATTAAGAGGATTCTAGGACAGATAATGATCTCAACAGCATACTTCTTTCTCTGAGCTGCTTCCTTACTAGGAGAGTCTTGAAGGCTAGAGTCAGTAGAATTATCATCCGAAGTTGGATGAACCTGCATGTGGGAGATGCAGTTGATTGCACTTGATAAATTAAAAAGTTTACAAGACTCAATGCAAGAAAAGAAGATAACAAATGCAAACGAGGTTTGCAATCCACATTTGGCAAAAATCAGCTGCGTTTATTGAACTCAAACAGATCAAACCAGCCTCACAGTGTGAAATGCAGCACTTATTCGAAGACATGTTTACAGAAGATTCCTTTCATAGCTAGTAACTAAACCAGTATTATACTCGTATATTTATAGTTATATCACATTTACTTCTACATCAACAATGTGGAACCAAAAAAAAATCAATTTTGATGAACACAAAAACACAAAACTTCGAACTCCAAATTCTCCACAAAAGATAGGATCCTTCAAGACCTAAAAACATCTGCCGAAAACTTGTATCATGAACAAATCCTCGCGTAGTCTTAAAATCTACAGCCTAATCAATCGCAAATTCTATTCATAATCAAATCTTCACAAATTAATATCAAGAAGCATCGGTAATATAAAAAACATAACAAATCAGTAGATAGACGTTACCTGAACAAGGCGAATTTCAATCGCCGGTCGATTAGCAGGATCGTGAGCCAAACGCAGCAATCTCTTATGCGTTAACACATCTTCTGCTCTCTCCACATTCACATCTAACGCATATCTACACCACAAAAGGTACCAAAATGAGAATTATCCTGCAAAAGATCAAAATAAAAAGACGAAGAAAAAACGAATAATTCAAATTAAAAAAAAA